ATAATGGTTTATAATCAAAAGTTATTTGACTTTTTGTGATAGTTCCAGTAATCACATTAATTAGGTCTGTTAATAATATAATTTAATTGTTTATAACAATCATGTTTGAAAAATTGTTAATGAGATAATTATTATTTTATCGTGATAATGTTCCTTAGGCATAAAAGGTTATGTTCTTATGAATAATCTATTTTTAATTAATTAATTTATATTTTATTTTAATTTCTTGAATTTATTCTTATGGATTATGCATTTATTCATATGTTAATATTGAATTTATATTGCATAAAAGATCTCATAAGGTTTGTAATATTCATTTACGATCAATTTTAGTGACTCTGGGGAATTTTAACAAGCAATTGTCCAAAACTTTATAGTGTGATTCATGAAAATGGGGCTTAAGCTTGAAAGGGTACCTTAAGGCAGCCATGTTCTCTAGGCTTATGTCTACTGCTTTAAGAACGCGTGTTCGGATCAGCTGAGTGTTTGTTGTGACAGTTAATTTAAAGAATAATTGTTATATTATAATGTTGTTTTCAGATGCTGTGGACTTCTAGAAAATCGAAAAATTTATGCGGGTGGAATATAGCGGTGATTATACCGTCAGACGTGACATCTCCCTCCTTAGGAAAGTTCGGTCCCCGAACTTTTATTAGTAAGTATAATTTTATGGTTATGTCGTATAGAGTATGATTATATTTATAGATAATTAATTATTTATGTGATTTTTATTACAGGATTCTAAAGTGTGCGTGGCAGTGTAAGAGCTGTGTTGCTGTAGTTGGATTTATCTAAATCGAGGTAATAGTTCCATTGTCAAAACATTCGTTTAGTAATGTGCTTAAGTAGTTCTATAGATGTGATTAGTAATATATTTTTTTTTCTCTTCTTCTCTTCTCTCTCCCTTTTTTTTTATTTGTTTTATTGGGTATATACACATGTATATTTGTACTTGCGTACATATATAGACGCGCATATTTGTTTTCAGTGTTCATTCCTTATGTTACTTATTAGGATATTTATTAATATAGGTTATTCTTATTTTATTATAGAGCTGGTTATCTATACTGTCACCGTGATTTCGTTGGACGGATATGATAAGGATAAATTAAAAGTAAGTTAATGCTATATTTCTATCGTTACTACATTTATTCATATAAGTTTTAGTCTCTCCCCTTTTTTTATTTTTTATTATTTTTGTTTAAGTATATTCAAGTATTTGCCGCGTATTCTTTCCTTAGCTTCGTCTAAATCCAGGCGATAAGCAAGATTATGTAGTCTTTTTACTTCTAGCATAAGGCTTGTCGTTGACATTTTGCTTAGCTCTGTAAGGATAATTATTTATTGATTATATATAACGGTTTTATCGTATAAGAGTGCAGTAATTAATATATTTCGTTATTGTTATAGGTGATAGGAGGTAATAGTGAACTGAGACTGAATTAATAAGGATAAAGGATAAGTATTTCAATCTTATTTTATAATCTTATGAATATATATATATATATGAATGAGAATATTAATGTATTTTCTTTCATTTTATTTCAGGTAAGGAATAGGTACGAAATTATCCTGGATGGGCTGGTTTTACGAGTGTGAATATGAATACGTTATAATAGTAATCTTACAATTAGTAAAGCATGTGAGTTACTTGCATTTTAAGGTTGACTAAATATATGTGTTTTTCTAT